CTTGAGGCCAGGCAAGGAGCCCTCCAAGAAGGGCCTGGGATTTGAAACAGGAACTGGGATCACTAGCCAGGCTCCCAGCCCCAACCTTTCCCCACAGACTTGGGAGTCGAATAGTTTTGTAACCTGCTCCACCCAGCCCACCTTGAGCACAAACCTCACTCCCGTGAACCTCAGTGTGCGCTTTTCGAAATGGGTGTAATACCTTGTATGGGGCGCTTATGTCGATGAAAGCAAGATGTGTGTGAAGAACTGGCTGTCTACTGCTTCCAAGACAGTGCTCGGGAAACGAGCTGCGGGGCACACGGGTCGGAAGGGGATGGCTCTTTGGCCACGCTGCTTCCCTCTCACCTCATTTGGGTGAGCAGCAGCCACCAGCCAACCCTCGGTGACAAAGGAGGGAGCAAGGATTTCAGAGTTGTTCCTAAGTTTCGACCTTCCCCGAGGCCCTCCTTCCCTAGGTCCAGCCCCCCAGCCTCTGCCTTCACAAGCAAATCCTAGAGGCTGAGCCAATGTGCCTGTCGCTGGTACCGACGGAAACCATTGAGACAGTGTCGTTTGGGACTGGACTGATTTCGAGGCCCCGAAGGCGTGCCCGGCCAGACGTCCAGTTGCACAGGGCTGGGAGGAGATGTGGTCGGGGCCACACTGCAGGCCCCAGGTTGAAGAGAGGTTATCTGTGTCCAGCAATCTGCACAGCCCTCGAGCCACCATCAGGAGACTCTGGCCTTAGGGAGGTGGAGCTTGCCAGAATCCTCCGTGCGCAGGGATGGTGGGGGATGAGTGTTGCTGTCTGTTCCCTATGCCCTGGGCTCTCACCGGAAGGCACAACCAGCCCCTCAAAGGGAAAAGGAGGGGCAATACATTTCCCATTCTCAAACCAAGAACCACCATATCAGCAGCTGCTCCTGAGATCCCAGACTGCCCCAGGCCCTTGGCAGGCCAGTCTACGACCCCTGCTGCCCCTGAATTCCTCAGAGCAGGGCAACCCCCAACTGTGTCTTGCCCATAGGGATCGGACAGCCCAAAGCTGCTCCCCACCTCTAAAAACAGGCATCATAACAGTCCCCACCTCCCCAAAGGTTGTTGTGAGGTCTAAATGGGATGGGGCAGGTCCAGTGTTTACCAGATGCCGGCCGCTGGCAAGTAGTGGCCACACTGGCACTGCACTGGAGACTGGGGTGCCAAATGCCAGCAGCTTCCCAGCGAAAAATAATAACAAGAGCAAGCGCTTATATAACACCTCTTGCATGCCAGGCACTGTGGGACGCTGTGCATGCATCCACTCACATCCATCTACATCCTCAACTCTCAGGAATGCCATCCAGGGCTGGATGGGGGTGCGGGTGCAGGGAGAAGCTGGAAGGGGCAGAAGGATCAGGGGTCAGGGAAGAGGAACCTGTCCCAGGGAATCAGGGTTAGCAGCCCCAGGTTCGCGCCTGGGCTCAGCCACCTTGAGCAAGCAGGTAAGGTGGGCTCAGTGTCCCGGTTTGGGCAAAAAGGGCAAGTGATGAGCCTCCCATCCCAGGGAAAGGAATCAAAGTGTGAGAACCCTTCCCCGACCCCCTCCACCTGGCCTGGCTTCTCCCCTCCTGCTGGCCAGGGACACACAAACACAGACTCGTCCACACACCCAGGCTTCCCTCTTTAAAATCCACACGTATACACAAACTGTGTTTTAAACAACCCACCCCACTACACTTACCAAAAGCATCTGCCCTGACTCAGACCAAGACCTGAACCCTCTCCTCCTGCAGTCGCAGGCGTGCCTACCCGTCCCCAAACACAGCACAGGAGTCACAGACGTCCCAGCCCTTCCAAACCCAAGCCTGACACTCCGGACTAGCCAGAGGCCCTGGACTCCCTTCTCAAGCAGGGTTCCCAGCCACCCGTCCCAGCGCCCCGGGGCTCTGAGTCAGCCTGAAAGCCTGACCCATCACTGTTCTCCCCTTTCCCCCAGGGCTGGAACCCCATCTCCAAGCAGACCCCGTGGGTAGGGGGAGGAGTAGCAGAGGCAGAAAAACCAGCTGCAACACCCCCACCCAACCACCAAAACCTCCAAAAATAACAGCAGCTCCCCCACACACAACCCCCTACACACCAGAAACGCAAAAACAAAATCCTACAAATCCAAAATAAAGAAAAAAAAAAAAAAGCCAATTACTGCCCCCAAAAGGCTTTGTTAACCATTCTCAAAAAAAAAGTTTATTAAAAGTGTTCTTACTTAATGCTTGAAACGGAAAAGATTCCCAAAATATACAGACGCCTCTTTTCTCATAGAAATAGATTATTTTTATAATACAAAAAAAAAAGACCAAAAAACAAAACAAAACAAAACAGCAACAGCAACAAGCCCGTAGGAACATCTTTAAGCGATTACTCAGGGCCCGGCTGACAGTTACACGTGGGTTGCGTCAGTCCCGTGTACACACGCGTTCAGCCATGTTTAAACCGATTGCATCAACTTCGAAACCGGCCCGCCCGCCGGCTCCTGGAGAGGGGCAGAGGGAGAGGCAGAGAGTCTATCATTCATCTGTACACATAGACGTTTCTTCTTTAAATAACACCACGGGCGGGCGCCCCATCTGCATGTGCGGTTGATTTGGACAAAAATATAGATATATATATATAATAAAATATTAAAATTACCGACGGGCTCCCCGCGCTGCCAAGTGCCCCAGTGCCAAAGTTTTGCCGGCGCCGCCGGGGGCGGGGGCGGGGGCGCGGGTGCGGGCGCTCCCCGGAGTCTCGGCCCCGGCCGGCAGGGGGACGCGCGCGGGGGCCGCGCTAGCAGTGGCCGGAGGAGGCGAGCAAGGGCTCGGGCAGCTGCTTGAACAAGTTCCGCAGGGTGCTGAGCTCGCGCGACAGCTGCTCCACCTTCTTCTGCAGCCGCTCGTTCTCGGCCGTGAGCTCCAGGACCTTGTGCTGCGTCTCCAGGTTGCGCATCTTGGCCTTGTCGCGGCTCTTGCGCACGGCGATGTTGTTGCGCTCGCGCCGGATCTTGTACTCGTCGCTGTGCTTGTCCACGGTCTTCTTGGCCTTGCTCTTGACCTGCGAGGGCGCCGGCGCGGCCCCCGCGTAGCAGGCGGCCGGGGGCGCCTTGGCGTCGGCGGGGCTCGGCGTGCCGGGCGGGCTGGACGACGAGGACGTGGAGAGGCTCCCGCTGCTGCCGCTCGGCACCGCCTGGTAGCCGAGGTAAGCGCGCAGCGCGTACGGGAAGCCCGCCGCCATGCCTGCGCCGCCGCCCGGCGCCCCGGCCTCCTCCTTCCGCTTGCAGTCCGCGGGCTCGAAGCCCGGCTCCGCCTTGAGCTCGGCGGGCGGCGGCGGCAGCGGGGGCGGCGGGTGCAGGGGCGCGAAGCAGCCGGGGTGCAGCGCGCCCTTGGCGGCCCCCAGGCGCCCCAGGCTCACGTAGCCGTACTCGGCTGGCTTCTTGCAGTTCTTGCCCCCGTAGTCGTCGGAGAAGAGGTCGGAGAGGAAGTCGTGGTGCTGCCCGGAGGAGGCGGGCGCGGGGGCGGGCGCGGGCGGAGCCGCCTCGAAGGTGTCCGTGGCCGTGGCGGGCGCCGGGGCCTGCGGCGCGCCCAGCGGCTCCAGGTACGGGCTGAAGTCAATGGCGCGCTCGTGGTCGCCGATGCTGCCCAGCTCGCCGGCGGGGGGGCGCGGCCCGGGTCTGGCCGCGGGGGGCGCCGCGGGGGCCGCCTTGCCGCCGTACGCAGCAGCCAAGCAGTCCGCCTCGTAGTAGAAGTTGGCCACTTCCATGGATTTAAAGGCAGGCGGCGGCGGCAGGGGGAGACATGCTGGGTCCCAGGCCACCAGGCGTTGCATGAACGCGGGTGCCCGGGGAGGGGGCCTGGGGCTGCCCGCTCCGGCCGGCCCGCAGGTGGCGCGGCCTCCCTGCTGTGAGCTGTCGCCGCTGCGTCGCTGCTGCTGCCGCCGCTGCCGAGGTGGCCGCTATTAGTGCGGGGGCTGGTGGCTGGACCCTCGGGTGGGTCCCCTTCCCAGTCCCGTGCGCGGCTCTGACTCGCTAAAGTTTCTCCTGAGCCCGGTTATTTATAAGGGCGGCCCGTAGCAACCGTGCGTCACGCCGGCCCCTCCCGCCGCCGCCACCGGGACGCGGAGGACACGGCCGCGGCCGCCCGAGACCCCCGGGAGGCCGGTGGCGGGGCGCAGCGGAGGAACCGGGCACCCGGAGCGCGTTTTCCGGGGGGTCCCCGGGCCGCGGAGGGGGCGGCCTCACGCCCCCTGCCCACCCGCGCTCGACCGCCCCGGGATTGGGAGCGAGAGGGGGCGGTGCGACCCCGCCCCCGGACCGCCCCTCTGGGCTGGAGGCTGCCCTGGAAGGCGGGGGAATCCGAGGAGGGGGCGACCTGAGCGCCTTCCCCCCCGAGACGCGGCCGCAGCCCGCCCCCTGCTGGAGGAGGCGGAGGTTTGAGGAGGGCCGAGCCGAGCCCCGACGGCCGACCGGTGGCCGCTCCCCGGGCCGCTCCCTGGAAACCCCAGGCCGCAGCTCTAGCTCCTGGAGAAGCGACCCATCCCCGTGGCCCTTCCTCTCCTAAACTCCCACCCCCTCCCCAGGTCCCCGGCTCTAGAAAGGAAACTCGAGGCCTGTGACGACTCCCGTCTTAAGCCACTACCAATATGAGGACCCCGGGGGTGGGGGGGGAGGGGATGGGGGACAGGGCAGTAGCGCGCTCCGCTGGGGGCTGCACCCTGGTCGACGGCGCCCCGCCCCTAGCCCCGCCCACCGCACCTGCCGCCTGCTCTTGGCTTGGACACCCGGGTCTTCTCCCACCCCGCGCCGCGCCACCCCTCCTGGGCCCTGCGATGGGGGTGGAGTTGGGGGGCGCTCGGCCCTGCCACACTGTGTGACCTTGGGTGAGTCCCTTCACTTCTCCCAGCTGCAGTCCATGAAGTGTGTCCCTACTGTCAGCGGTGGTGGCGTTGTTCCCAGACTCCCAGACCTAACAGGCTTACGTTATAGGCTGCACATCGGAGAGAAAGGAACCCCCACGGATTGTGCCATTGGAGGCCCAGAGGGGGCACAGCATGGCATACCAAGGTCACGTGGCCTCATGTCTCCCATTCATCGCACACGAAATGCCTGCCCTCTCTGGGCCCTAAGACCTATTGCCAGCCCCACAGGCCAAAAAGCTTCTGTTTCCGAAGCTGCTGTCAGGGGCTTAAGCCAGGCCTCACGGAGAGGGGTGGCATGCAGGAAAGAGAAGAGATGCCCCTGTTTTTACCACGTCCCTGCCCTGTGCTCAGGGTAGGCCTGGACCCCAAGGTTCAACTTTTTTCACCCCACCAGGAAGATGCTTCTGCGGCCGCCGTTTCACAGACGGGAAAGTGACAAGCACCTGCCTGGAGGCCCTCTGACCACCGCCAGCCTCTGCTGGGTAGGCTCAGCTCAGAGGGCCCTTTGCCCTCCCGGACCCACTCCTAGGCCACTGGGGCAGCTCCCTGGGCCCACCTCTCTGCCAGTCCTAGCCCAGGCTGCCCAGGTAGGAGCTTCCAGCCTGCCGGGGGCTGACCCCCGGCCCACTGACCCCAGCCCTGGCCCCGGCAGGCAGGCGGGCATTGCTCAACCTTCGGTGTTATCTGCCGAGCTGGGGTGACCTCTGCCCTCAAGAGCTGGAGAAATAACATTTCTGGGCACCCTTGGTGGGTAGGAGGCAGGGAGGGAGGGGGTAGAACGCTGGCCCAGCCTGCTGGCTTTCTGGGCCTTCCCAGCAACCTCTGAGCTGGGGAGGGATCGGGGCCCAGAGGGGTGCAGCACGTTCCCCAGGGTCACCCAGCCAGGCCTTCCTCACTGCAAAATGGGACACTCAAGGCTGAGCTAGAGGCCACGGCTTCCGAGAGGCCCTCTCTGTCCCACCTGCTGGAGAATGTCCTTCCCTGTCACCAGCCTCCGTTATCCTAGTGGTCTCTCTCAGTCTCCCTGCAGACTGCCACTCGGAGAGGGCTGGCCCACGAGGGACTCCTGGGCACAGCACGCTCAACATGGACCCGTGAATGAATGCATTTGCTGTTCCCAGTGCACCAAGAACACTGTCACCCCACCTCTGCCCAAGGCAACACCTCAGGTCTCAGCCCAAAGGCTGCCTCCTCCAGGAAACAGCCCCCGTCCAGTCTCCCCATGGGAAGCCCAGCCCCTCAGTCGCTCCTCTCGCACCCACTGCTGTCGCCATTCTTACCAGGATCAGAATTATCTCACCTGCCCATCTTGCTGTGTGTTCCCGTGGCCTTCACTACTATGTCCCCGGTGCCTAGAACAGAGCCTGGGACACAGAAGGTGTTCAGTGAATGAATAATGGAGGAGGCTGAGAAGAAGGAGAGGTTCCTCATTAGCTGGCTATGTGACCTTAGGCAAAAAGGCTTCCCTCTCTGAGCCGCAGCACTCGCCCACATGCCCCCTTCTGGATTCTGAAGAGATGCAATGAGATTTGGGGAACTGAAGGTAATTGGAGGATCTGCTGTGTGTCCTCAGGCCAACCTTCCACCCTCTCTGAACCTCACATTCCAAGCTCTTTGCATGTATTAATTCATTTAATCTTCCTGATAATTTGAGGAGGCAGGTCTGTCTTTTTTCTTTTTCTATATTTTTCGATGTTTTGTAGAGATGGGTGTCTCACTATGTTGCCCAGGCTTTTCTCAAACCCCTGGCCTCAAGTGGCCCTCTTGCCTCAGCCTCCCAAAGTGCTGAAATTATGGGTGTGAGCCACTGTGCTGGGCCCGAGTCTTACCATCATCTCCACTTTACAGATAAGGACACTGAGGCCCAGAAGAACTAAGTGTGTCTGCCCCAAGTCACACGGAAGGATGAGAAGGAACAAAATCTGCCCAGCCCGACTTTCCCCCTTTGGGGTTGTCATTACAGGCCTGGCAATGTGAGTCCCACCTTCTGGAGAGGAAAACTGAGGCCCAGAGAAGAGTAGCCCAGAGGGTCTCACGCTGTGGGTTAAGTGTTACTCAGACCCTGAGGGCCAGCCCCCAAAGACCAGACTCAGCCCCGCAGGGGTCCAAGCCCTATGGCCTCCAGCGAGGAGCATGCTTGCCACCCTTCCCCGCCCTCCACCCCCTGCCGGGGATGACCCATCCCTTCTCAGGGCAGGTCCCACCCCGGTGCCACCCCAGGTGTCCTGCAGCAAAGCTGCAAGCTAGGATGACGTAAGCCCTTGTTTTTACAAGGCTGTTGCTCAACAGGCCCTGCCTGCTGCTTCCCTACCCCCAGCCCGGTCCTGTTCAGCCTTTCCTCAGGGAGGATGGTGGGAACTTGAGGGCCACCATCCCGGAGGCCCAGAGCATGTGAGTGGCTGTGTGGGCCCAGGAAGCCAGGATCCCCCTGGTGCCACCTCTCCCAGTCACCTGCCCTCAGAACCTAGAGCCGGAAAAGGTCTCCAACTGGCAGCCAGCAGCCCAGTCAAGACCAGGGATGGGTTCAGTGTGACCCCGGAGTGTTTTGTTTGATGTGTGTGTGTTTAAGTGAATTTACTGCCAACATTTAAAAATCAGGAGATTTCACATCAAAATTCAGATTTCCAGCTCCTCTTTTAAAACCTGAAGATGTGGGCTGGGCCCACGTGGCCACATGGTGGTGGGCAGAAGCCAGGCGGGGGTGGGGAAGGAACAGGCACTTTCCTACCTGGGACACACGTCCTCCTCTGCCCCCAAACTGCTTCTCAGAATTCCTCCTCCCTGTCCCTGCAGCTTTTCCCTAGCCCATTTTCAAGAGGGGAAAACTGAGGCAATTCACCAGGGGGAGACCCAGGGTGGCTGCTTTGACGGAGAGTGCTTTGCTGAGGGGCTTAGAAACCAGACAGCAGCGGCCAGGCACCGAGGCTCACGCCTGTAATCCCAACACTCTGGGAGGCCCGAGGTCAGGCGTTTGAGACTAGCCTGGCCAACATGGTGAAACCCCATCTCTACTAAGAATACAAAAAAAAAAAAATTAGCTGGGCGTGGTGGCAGGCACCTGTAATCCCAGCTACTCGGGGGGCTGAGGCAGGAGAATCGCTTAAACCCAGGAGGTAGAGGTTGCAGTGAGCCAAGATCACGCCACTGCACTCCAGCCTGGGCAACAGAGCAAGACTCTGTCTCAGAAGAAAAAAAAAAAAAAAAAAATTAAAAAAAAGAAACCAGCCAGCAGGTCTGAAAATAAGGCCGAAAGGTGAACCATCAGACCATGAATGGGGGTGTCTCCAGTTGGCGTGGGGCGGGGGTGGCAGGGGATGGCAGGGGGTGGCAGGGGATGGCAGGGGTGGCAGGAGGTGGCAGAGGGTGGCAGGGAGGCAGGGGGCAGGGGGCAGGGAATGGCAGGGGGGTGGGGGGCAGGGGGCAGGGAATGGCAGGGGGGCAAGGGGCAGGGGGTGGTGGGGGTGGCGGGGTGGATGGCAGGGGGGTGGTGGGGGTGGCAGGGGGTGGCAGGGGTGGCCTTTCATTCTACCTGGGCCGTCCATGCTGTGGCTGTCCAGCCGTGTCTGGTGTTCCCTTGGGCCTCAGTCCCTGGTCGATAAAATGGGGAGATAACATTATCTGGGGTTCTGGGCCTGCTGTTCCCCCTCACTGCTGGCCTTCCCAACACATGGGAGTGAATCACATGTCCCTTTCATTCCACAAAGCAGGCAGATGGGGAAACTGAGGCCCGAAGAGGGTTAGAACTTCCCACTTCACCCTCCAATTTCCCTTTGTGCCCTTGTGAATGGGGACAAGAGCCAGACTTAGCCAGATTCCCTGAGTCCAGTGTTTGAGATTTTCCGAATTATGCCTCCTCTCTGAGGCCTCAATTTCCCCATCTGCCAAATGGGGCTGGCAGAGGTAGATCCCTGAGGGCTGCCAGGCTCTGAGGTTCTGGGATCTAGGATTTTGGAGGCAGGAGGTGCCAGGCCTGGTGGTGAAACTTGCCTGAGTATATGCTGCCACCAGGTGGCAGGCTCTGGGACTGCAGGAACAATTCACATGCTTGAAGACCCACTGGGCACCCTTGCTCTGAGTTCGGGGAAGCCAGTGCCATGGATGTGATAGAGGCATACAGGGCGTCAGCAGGCCACCGAGAGGAACCAAAGCATCCAACGAACAGAAAACAGTGCTCAATCTTCACATAGTCTTTCGTCAAATGTTCCTTGGCATATGCCGTAAATCTGGCCCTAGAGACGTATTCATGGACAAGACAAGCAATTCCTGTCCTCGTGGAGCTGAAATTCTCCTGGGGGAAAACAGCACTAAACAAGATCAATGATTACAGTATAGATTGTGAGGCCAGGCTCGGTGGCTCACGCCTGTAATCCCAGCACTTTGGGAAGCCAAGGCAGGCAGATCACAACGTCAGGAGTTCAAGACCAGCCTGGACAACGTGGTAAAACCCCGTCTCTAATAAAAATACAAAAATTAGCTGGGCATGGTGGTAGGCACTTGTAGTCCCAGCTACTCAGGAGGCTGAAGCAGGAGGATCACTTGAACCCAGGAGGTAGAAGTTGCAGTGAGCCAAGATTGCACCACTGCACTCCAGCCTGGGCAACAGAGTGAGACCCTGTCTCAAAAAATAAAAAAAAAGACTTGAGCCCAACACTGTCACGTTAGGTTGATCGGCCCAAAGGGAAGGGAGCGCACAAGCCCGTGCACACCAGGAGGCTGGTCATGGGCGCTGCTAAAGAGGCCGCCACAGGAGGGGTGGGTAGGGCGAAGGTTCACGGAGGAAGACCTATACCCTTTTTTAACTTTAAAATGTTTACCGCAGGGCTGGGTGTGGTGACTCAAGCCTGTAATACCAGCACTTTGGGAGGCTGAGGCAGGTGGATTGCTTGAAGTCAGGAGTTCAAGACCAGCCCAGCCCACATGGTGAAATCCATCTCTATTAAAAATGCAAAAAAAAAATAGCCAGGTGTTTTGGTGCAAGCCTGTAGTCCAGCTACTGAGGAGGCTGAGGCACAAGAATCGCTTGAGCCCAGGAAGTGGAGGCTGCAGAGAGCTGAGATGGCGCTATCTCATTCCAGCCTGGGCGACAGAATAAGACCCTGTCTCAAAAAAAAAACAGTTCACCATGGGGCCGACCGTGGTGGCTCACGCCTATAATCCCAACACTGGGAGGCTGAAGCAGGAGGATTGCTTGAGGCCAGGAGTTCAAGACTAGCCACTCAACATAGCGAGACCCCGTCTATATGAAAAAAATCAAAAATTAGCCAGGCATGGTGGTACACATCTGTAGTCCCAGATATTTAGGAGATTGAGGCAGGAGGACCTCTTGACCCTGAGAGGTCAAGGCTGCGGTGAGCCATGATTGCAGCACTGCCCTCCAGCCTGGGTGACAGAGCAAGATCCTGTCTCTTAAAAGAAAAAAAAAAAAAATGTTCACGTGGACATGTATTACCTTATGATTGGTTGGGTCCAGAACATTGCCCAGTGCTGCTTCCACACCTTGGTTGTGCTGTTCACCTGCCTCTCACACCCTTCCTTCCACCCCCAGCTGTAGAGATGCCCAGGGAAGCGTTCCCTGAATGCGCAAGTCCATTACTCTCTCCTCCAGGCTCCACCTGGACTTCAGGCCTCTGGACCTTTGCTGGGTCCAACCTACGGGACTTAATGTTGAGTAATTATCCTCTCCTGGGAACCCCTAAAGGCCTGCACAATCTAGGCCATCTCTGTCCACACACACAATGGGATCACGCAGGTGCTGAGTAGGTGCTCGGTGACTTCAGGGCCCAACCCAGGAAAATACACACTGGAGGGCCAGGTGTGCCTGTAATCTCAGCACCCTGGGAGGCTGAGGTGGGCAGATCACAAGGTCAGGAGTTCAAGATCAGCCTGACCAATATGGTGAAACCCCATCTCTACTAAAAATACAAAAATTGGCCAGGTGTGGTGGTGCGAACCTGTAGTCCCAGCTATTCAGGAGGCTGAAGCAGAAGAATTGCTTAAACCGGGGAAGCGGATGTTGCAGTGAGCCGAGATCGTGCCACTGTACTCCAGCCTGGGTGACAGAATGAGACTCTGTCTCAAAAAAAAAAAGTAAATAAAAAATAAAGGTAAAACAGACTCAGATTGACGAACAAACAGAGGGAGAGCCCCAACAATGCCGCTTTGAGAATCTATCCTGAGGAGCTCAGCATGGAAATAACTCAAGCCTGCTCCACACCACGCTTTCACTTAGGCGGTTTTTAGGTAGGCTCTCAGCAGCCCAGGCTCCAGTGCGTTTGCACCATCACAGCTCACTGCAGCCTCAACCCCCTCAAACTCAGGTGATCTTCTCTCCTCTGCCTCCCGAGTAGCTGAGACCACAGGCACACGCCACCATGCCAGGCTGATTTTGTTGTTTTGTTTTGTTTTGTTTTGTTTTTTGACACAAGGTATGTCACTCTGTCACCCAGGCTAGAGTGGCACAGTCATAGCTCACAGGCTAGTGGCACAGTCACGGCTCACTGCAACCACAGCCTCAAGTGACCCTCCCATCTCAGCCTCCCAAGTAGCTGGGACTACAGTCATATGCCACCACACCTGGCTTTTTTTTTTTTTTTTTTTTTTTTTTTTTTTTTGCAGATACAGGATTTTGCCATGTTTTCCAGGCTGGAGCTGTTCTCAACTCCTGGGCTCAAGCGATCCACCTACCTTGGCCTCCCAAAGTATTCAGATTACGGGCCTGAACCACCATGCCCAGCCTAAATTTTTTTTTTTTTTTTTTTTTTTTTTTTTGAGAAATGTGATCTCACTATGTTGCACAGGCTGGTCTCCAACTCCTGGGCTCGAGCGATCCTCTCACCTCAGCCTCCCGAAGTGCTGGGATTACAGACCTGAGCCAGCATGCCCGTCATTTAAACATTTGAATGATGAATACTGTGGAAACCAACTCAGTGCTCAGCGTTGCTGCCATCTCCACCAGAGCACCTGGGGACTCAGCCTGAGGCTGTGGGAGTCTCTGAAATGAAGGGGAAGATTGCACCTGGTCGCATTTGCTTTACTACAGGAAGAATTGTTCCAGCCTTCCTCCGGTTCTCAGGGCCGGGCCAGTGACCCCCACAGAGGTGAAGGCGCCTGGTCAGCTGGGTGCCCACCGGGTACTGACATGCCTACTTAGACCCCTCAAGAGGAAAGGGTGAGGCTGGTGGCTCACGCCTATAATCCCAGCACTTTTGGAGGCCAAGGCGGGTGGAACACGAGGTCAGGAGTTTGAGACCAACCTGGCCAATATGGTGAAACTGTCTCTACTAAAAATACAAAAATGAGCTGGGCATGGTGGTGCATGCTTGTAGTCCCAGCAACTCAGGAGACTGAGGCAGAAAAAATCGCTTGAACCTGGAAGGCAGAGGTTGCAATGAGCCAAGATTGTGCCACTGCACTACAGCCTGGTGACAGAGTGAGACTCCGTCTCAAAAAAAAAAAAAAAAAAAAAAGGAAAGGGTGGCCTCCTCCACCAGGAAGCCAGTGCTGGTCCCGGCCCTGCTGCCTGGAGCATGAGCAGCTGAGCCTGTTTCCTGGGCACTTAACGCTGTGCCAGGCACTGCCCAAGGGGGTCGTTTTTCTTCATGTATTTATTCCCTTCTCTTCCGGTACCTGCCACCCACCTCTTCTCACCCCGACTCGAAGGCAGACCTTCTGTCACTTTGTGTCTTTTTGCTGGAATGTGTCCCTGCAAAACACTTGTGGCTACTTTGTGGCATGAACGCTTGTGTGAAAGGTTTTGTGGCTGTGACTTATCCACGATCCTTTCTGTGTGCAGCCCCAATCTCAGCCGCCCAGTCCCTGGGGCAGACACCCAAGT